CGGACTATCAAAAAAGTGGTAGCAGATTTTAACTCATGAGCTGAAGACGGTGCCTCCATAAAATCAAATGCTTATTATTCATTGTAGCCTTTATGAAATTTATTATATCTATGAGGGGTAAGTATGGTAAGTCATATCGCAGTAGATTTAGATAGTGACAAAATTACATGAACGTTTTCAGTTACTTTTAATTTGGAAATCACCTTGGAAAGCTTTGAAGACTAACATTTTTCAATAAAATAAACCTAACTATCTTCACAGCTACATACATTAAAATGTTTTATGGCGGTGACAAGTCCATGAATACTCAGTTCCTTCATAGCTCAACCAGCAAATCCAATAAAACATTACCCGTCCGAATGAAAACTCCATATTACTTAGAGATAACGCAGCCGAAAATGCGATTCGAGTTTCCTGCTTAGCTGCCCCTTTCCAGGGACACTGAATTCTCGCATATCGAATGATCCAGCCACACTTTCGGTAAACAATACCCTATTTAATTGCTTTTACAGTCGCCTGCACTCTTTCGACTAAGTACACTCCGCCGTTTCACTTCGACAGCAAACACACGCAATCAGCAATAACTTTATTTCGTCAACTATATATGATCCTCAACATGCACTTCGTTCCTGGTCCAAATTCGTGCCGATGGTGATTCATTCAATAAGGGGTTATTATCTTAGTAGGCAAGTGTTTAATATTAATCAAAGTTCTGATAACGGAATGTTCTTTGTAAGTATGCTTTCTTGATGAGTGAAGAGGTACACACATTTTTATCTAGTTGTGAACATACTTCTGTCTGATTGTGTGGTGGTTGAAATGAAAGTACAAACTTCAAATTATAGGAAGTCGGCGGATATTGTTCCATATGCTCCTAGCAATGGGTAGCGACACCCATATAAAAAAGCTTCGAATAATCAACAATGTTCCAGAACATTCCATAGCATCTGATACTGTTCTGGAATGTTCTACAATGATATTGCAAACGTTTCAGACTCTTCACGACCTTTCCACAACATTCCACAATGTTTTGAAATGTTTTGGAATGCTCTCGAGTGCTCTATCACAAAGGAAAAATGTTACACAAAAGGGTTGAGGCTTTCGCAGCTGAGGTTTTTGGTGTCACCATTTTTGAAGGCCGTGAAATTTTGGAATTTCTTCCTGACGTTTCGCTGGAGCTAATGGCTAACTTCTTAAGATGTTTATACATTACTTACGATTACTAACGGATAGTTACTATCCGATTATTATCGCATAGTCATCCAGAATGACCTCTGGGGAAACTAGCCACTCGCGCTAGCAAAACGCCAGGAAAAAAATCCAAAAATCCACGGCCTTCGAACTCGAAAAATAGTGACACTGATAAATGTTACTCTTGAAATTTTGAATCAAGGTGGTATTGGTAAATCACCTCATTCAAAAAAACATTGCATTGAGTCTTTTTTTATTAGAAATGGTTCATATTAACAGTAGTTCCTGTTTTCTGTCTGTTTCTGTTTGAAATCTGTTTTTCCGTTAACCAGCTGTCACACCCCTACGAACAACAATCGTCAGAAGTCGAAACTGGTGCGAGCTAAGGATTAACAAGGTCTCACTTTTCAACGTAACACGGGTTGAACAATAGCAAGTGAAAATCGATCGTTCAGACTAGCGCTTGAACCACCGACCAACACGGCAGTCAATTCGAGTGAGTGAACAAAGCACCCACGTCGAACCGCCTGGCTACCGACCGACCGGTAGTTCATATTTTTCAGCCACAAAAAGCCACGAGAGGTTATTTTTTTGACTGATATATCAGTATAAGCTACTGACGGTCTTTTATTTTCGAATTCGAAATGAACGTAATATACTTTCACAGAAGTAACTTTTACGTTTCCAACAAGAACCCATCTCACTATTTTGATCCCGCCCGATAGTGGTGAAACAATAAATTACGCAAAAGAAGGATTCAGTGAAAGGAATTAACGACCACCGAATTCAACTATATCAAACTTTTCTTGTAGCCAATGTAGGTCAGTTACGAATAAATTACCTATCATCAATTTCTAAGATAGTGAGTGAGTAGATCTCATTTTATGAGAGTGGAAAAACCAATCCAAAAAATGAACAATTTCATTTCTATAAGTTGGAACAGCACCTCCCAAAATCGTATGTATTTCCACTGAAAGAGGATTCAATACAATGATTTTCGTTGAAATTAGAATCTGAAAACCAGTGAAGGTTAGTTCATATCATTCTGTGGTTTTTGTACGCATGATTATTGAGAAAAGGATGATCAAAAATAATAAAGTGAAGAATTGATTATTGGAAAAATAATAAACTACTAACTTGAGTGTATTTCTGAGTTTTGATATAATTTTCTGGATATTGGTAGTAATTTTTTTTCAAATTGACACATTGTGTAATCTATATTCTGATACTTTCACATAATATGTTACTTCCCAGAGCTGTCCTAATTCACGTCCGTCGAAAAAGTGCACGCATGACTTTTGTGTCTTCCTGATCTAATTAATCAAAACAAGCGTAAGAGTGAAGCGCTGTTGGGAGTTGGAAAAGAAAATATTTAAAATTTTCAACGATGTGATTTGATAACAAATTGGCGCGCACTGTAAAAATATTGTGTCAGAATAACGCGAGCTTTTCGATAAAACGTCGAATAGGAATAAGAGCGTAGAAAGAGAAACGTTTGATAATGAGTAACCGTTGCGTTCATTTCTCACAAACGGATTAGTCCACATTTCCCTAACCGCGCAACTCAACCCTGCTTGTTTGTGTTTGGGTTTCGGGATCCATCTGTAAAACAAATACTGCTGTCAGCCAGCGCTCTTATTGTCTTTTTGTTATAGAAATAAACCACCGTGGAGAAAGACGCCATTTCAATTCGGCAGACTAATTCGTTTGAGGTACCATCGAATATATCTGATAGCTATTGCTGAATCTGTCTCATCGGCATCCGTTCATGAATTTACAGGTTGCGTATTGGTTAAATTTTCTAATATGTAGTTAGAAATATGTAGTTTGAAAGTTCATTATTCGGAAATTTTGGTGATACGTTCTTATAACTGAATTAGTTTCATTCAATTCATTGCCTACTCAACGGTATAGTACCGCTCAATTGTAATTGATGTTTTATAGTAGAAAAAGTATCTTTTAAAACCGGATTTTCGGACCAGTTATAGTATAAAGTGCAATCCATCTGTAACAGTTGAAGTTGTTAACAGTGAAATGGACCTTATACCTTAAAATTACCAAACAAGTGCAACACTCCTAAAAGTTTTTATAAAGCAAAGTTTTTATTCCCACTCCAAAAAAAAGCTAACCTTGATAAAGATAAACATTGGTTCTGATGCCTCGTCATTTTATGGATTGAAGAACAGGACCGGCACCAAATTATTTTCAAAATGATGTGCTCAAAATACAAAGTTGTAGAAACAAAAGAAGATATTCTAGCAACTTGTGATAAGTGTGGTTGTAAACTATGTCAAACTTGTGAAAAGTTTTCAAGTACAAAATATAGAGCTGCAATACTAAAATCTGCAATATTTTTATGCCTGAACTGCCGTTCAGCAAGCCTGATACAGATAAAATAAAAGAACTACAAAACGAAATCAAATCACTTAATGAAAAAATCAGTGGGATTTCAACAGAACTTAATAAAATTGCTTCATGAATGACTAACCCAGTATGTATTCAGGATCTGATTGGGAAAAGCTTACAATATCTGAGAGATGAAATACAAGATTTGTAAAATGGAATAAAAAAAAATGAACAAACAAAACTTCAAATTGTAGATCTCAAAGACTCGAACATAGATTCAATAAGATTATTAACATCTGGCAACATTTCCAGTAACTCAGTCCCAATAAACAAATATAATGAAACCAATACACAAAATACACATAAAAAATTGAATTTTACAAGTACAAAGGAAACACAGTCAACAATGAAAACAATCATAACAAAAACAAAACCTAATAGTTACTCACAAGTTCCAAATAAGGGAGAAATATCTAAAGCTGTTTCCACAATTGATGACAAAAAAAACAATGCCTATGACAACTTTGTAGAAGCAAAGAGAAGGCATAGAAGGAGAAAACGTATTGGCACTGATTCCGTTAGTGAAGCAGAGGAACACGGCTTTGAAGGAAGAGATAATACCTTATCCTCGAATAAAAACAAAAAAATATGGCTCTCCATATCACTTATAAAGGATTCTATAACAGAAAATACTGTCAAAAAATACATATCTAAAAAAAA